GAAAGACTATGGGGGACAATGCCTATGTCCTTTCAGTATGCCTTTGGTAAGCAGGTCACAGTAATAATTGACTGCTTTGAGGTGTTTATTGATAGGCCAACAAACTTACTTGCCAGGGCACAGACTTTTTCTAATTATAAGCACCATAACACAGTAAAAATTCTTATTGGAATTACTCCACAAGGAACTGTCTGTTTTGTGTCTGAGGCTTGGGGTGGCCGCACCTCTGACAAGTGCTTGACTGAGAATTGTGGGTCTTTAGAAAACCTACTTCCTGGTGACATGGTCATGGCTGATCGGGGATTTACTATTTGTGATAGCATTGGGCTGAAACAAGCCAAGTTAGTAATCCCAGCATTTACTAAGGGAAAGTCACAGTTAGATCCTGTAGATGTGGAGCGAACAAGGGGCATTGGAAATGTGAGAATATATGTGGAGAGAGTTATTGGTTTGTTGAAGCGAAAGTACACCATTCTAGAAGGAACACTGCCTACAGATTTTCTCTATTCCAACCGCAGAGGAACTCCAGATACAAAGATCCCCATGATAGACCAATTTGTAAGGGTTTGTTCTGCCCTTGTTAATTTATGCCCTCCAATAATTCCTTTTGATTAATCATTTCAGTGACAAGCTCTTTGAAACACCTGTTTTCTATACTTAGCGTATCATTCTTCAACAAGAAAAGGGTATTTATAGCTCATTAGACAATGATAAAGTTTTTGGAATTTGAGAGCTGCTTGTTTGCAGGGAAAGCTAGAATTCAGTTTTTCGAAGCCCTGCAACATGATAATTCATTGTTACATGCACATCACAATAAAACAGAAAGTTCATCTTAACAAAGGGAATAATCAGTAAATATGTATTGTCTTTTGACTTTTAACTAATCTTTGCAGTCAGGAGCCCATCAATGTCTCTCAACTAAAACTACTAGACTGAAATGAAGAGACCTTTGTTTGGAACATTTAGTATTTTGAAAAAATTACTAAAATAAACAAATATTGTTGACCTGAACTTTTCACCGGGTGAGACCCATTTAATCCTTGTTGAGTAGTAATTCCTAGAAATTATGTGATGTTCACATACCTTAGCCCTGAAGTAAAATGTGTGGTTACAGAAAATATCCATATCTCCAACATGGAAGGCTTTACCTTTTTGAACCTTCTCTCCCTCCCTGAAATTCCCAATTAAGTTTCATACTTTGACTTATAAATTTTAGATTTTGTAAAACCTTCTCCCTTTGAATTTCCATTGACCTTCCATAGGGTGAGTGTGGACATTTTCTGGAGTCACAAAATATTAATTTGGGAAACTTATAAAAACTTATAGTTTTATTGTTATACCAAAGAAAAATATCTCACTCCTCCTTAATTAAACAGAATTGGTAAGACTAAAAAACATGGAAACATGCTCATTTTTTCTGTCTTAAAACATGCAACTAAATGTGAATGCAATCCTTGAATGTCAAATGTCACATGGCTTGGATTTATTCCCAAAGCAAGGCATGTGGTAAAGGCAATGGCAAAAACGCCACGGCCCCTTCCATTTGTTTGCTGTTGCACAGAAACAAACTGTAGACTAGCCAGTGTCCCACCGAGCAAGTCATTTGTCTGGTGTTCTACTTCTTGGGAAATGGCATCATGGTAGAGGCTGTCATAGAGATTTACATGGCCAGGCAAACATCCCATCGAGCTTACACAAACCCAGTGATTACTTCCGGTATGCAGAATTTGCACAAGTTCCCCAGAAACAACATCAAAGTTATGTGCTGGGCCTAGAGTGGGCCTCTGCAATCCTTGGATTACTGAATTTTCTTTCTGTAGCAGCAATTGAGCCTGTTGTATTATATCACCAGTAAGCCAACCAGTTGGGCTAAGAATTGTTTGATAATCGCCTTCATCTTGTAGGCTGTAAACTGCTGTCTTGTATAAAAGCTTGTCTCTAAGACGAAATATCCATGCAAATCAGTCGCTTCTATTTGGGGCAAACACAAAATTGGACAAGGCCGTAGGCTGAGTCCAATTTGGCTGTCAGAGAAATTTTTTTAATCCAATTGTTTTTCCGAAATTGGACAAGCACATAGTCCTCTTACATATTAATTATAATTATAGCCAGTCAGTTGTAATTGAGGATTGCTCACTCAAGCTATTATTATTTAATTTTTTAAAAATTTTCAATTAAGCTGCTCTAAAATTCAAGAGGAATTAAAGGTTATGTATATATGTAAGTCCCTCTTTAGCTTTGTTTGTTTGTTTGTTTGTTTTTTCACAGGGTTACTTTTTCAACCGAGAGGACAGTGCCAGTCCAGTGATACCTTCTCAAGCCCAGGAGGAAGCCTTAGCTAATGATACAGCTTCTCTGGGTCTTCTACCAGAAACAAAGTTTCATCCAATTCGAACAGCATGGATTGCTATTCTGCAATTGATCCTCTTTGTGAGTACATGCATAAATTAAGACCTAAGGAAGTAATGGTCAGTGTAAGAACACTATAAGTTGGATGTTGACCAAGTTCTTCATTTGCCTTTTTTGGACTGAGAAAAACTCAGTTTAGGTCAGTCAACAAAGGATTAATATTTTGTTGATTGTGATAAATAATTCTCATAAAATTTCCCTCTTTTACACGACTGTTTCTTAAGACTTGTCTTCAGTTGATTGAAGAAAAGATGGTTACGAATGAAGAGTAAGCCCTCAATGAAAAGAGTGCATGTAAAATAAAATTGATACAGCCAAATGCTTGAGAGAAACTACAACTGCTAAATTTCCACTGGAATAAGATGTTTGGATTTACTGTTAATGCCGCACGGAATAAACAACAAGTTGTCTGTATTCTGATTGGTTCTGTTTTGTATGGCATGGTATCATAGCCTGTAAAACTTGGTAACTTATCACCCTCTAGAATTTTCAGTAAACACTAATGCAGATTTAAAGCTTCTATATAAATAATTACAATTTTTTCCAATTTTTTTTTTTTCCAGATTTCATTTGAATCCCTTCAATTTATTTTTCCTAACAAAAAACTCATGGGTGAGTCCTTGTCACTTGGTGGTACAGATCCTCCATTCAGCTTCCTCATCTTACTCCATGTGGGGTTGTGGGTGATTATATTTATCTGTGACAGAGTTTTACAATTTCAACATCATCAATCCCAAGCTAAAGGTTACCTGGAGTTCTTTAGAGAAACAAAGGAGTTACGAAGAATTCCACACTCAGTGTTATCACTAGGTATGGTTACATTTTTCCAATACCTTCAGCAGAAAAAAAATTTTGTCATTGGTTTCAAATGACTCCAACCCCTTTCAACTCAAACCTGTGCAATTTCCCTTGAAGGCTTGATATATCCAGAGGCAAATGCATTGTTCATTTTTCTTCTAGGAAATGCTGTTCTGTTGGTTTTGTATGCAGTCATTGGTCATGATTCAAAGGAATCTGACAGAGGTGGCCTAGCACTGTACAATATATTGCAGATTACTTTCACTATTGAGTTTATTATTTCTGTACCTGGGATTCTGTGGTACATAGGTAAGCTGCACAATTAATTCCATTGAACATTTTAAAACTAGTCTCCCTTTGTTCTGAAAGCATAGTCTTGAACAAATGATAATTCATTTCCATGAAGGCTACTCTGTCTTTCTGGAAGTGTCTGGAAAAGCTATTTTAAAGATAGTTTTTACGTCTTTCACCCCCAAGATCTCATAAGTAACTATCCTTGCTATTCGCGAGACTATTTGTATGATGCTGTTTGATCAATTAATAAAAGTTATAATTATTTACTTGTACATATGTGTACTAAATTAAATGTATCAATACTTTTCTCTCCCAAATTCTGATAGCAATTATTTTAGTTATAATTGTAGGCTACTCCCAAGAATTTGTTTCTATATGAATGCATTGTCCCTCAGTTTGATAACTTTTCCAAATTCTCTGTACCTGTCGTATTGACATCCTGTTAAAATGCTGCAGTAAAGAATATTGTGTTCTGTTCACTATGGGAGTGAAAGTGCTTACCGTTACTTGTTTTCTATGTCATTGTTTTTATATTTTGTTGTTTTAGTTAAAGTTTTTAAGTTTAATGCAAGGCAACCACTCCCAGATGCAGAGGACTCAGACTTTTTTAACGTTTACACTAACAATGGGGTATCTTCCCTTTCCACAACAGGATACAGGTGAGTATGGAATTGTCATCCCTCCAGAACTTCAGTAGCTCTACAAGTCGCACAATTTAGAAACTTCTGTTGTGGATTGCATGTATCAAATGATTCTTCGTTGGGCTTGAAGGTCAACTGGTTACATGTTACCTAATGTATACTCAGCTATGATTGGCTGGTATTCAACTTCTGTGTTTGGTGCAATTTGTAGAAATATTCCCTCAGTGATTGGCTGTTGGACAACACTCCTGGTGTTGTGTTTAATATTTATTTGTTCTTGACTGGACTTTGGTGCCAGTTTGCAGTGCAGGCCCCAGTTCTTCAAAGGATGGATAACCCTATACACTGGATAAATCACTATCCGGTGGATAGGACAGTACGTTTTGGTAACACTTATCCACTGGATAGCGGTTTATCCGCTGGATAGGGTTATCGGCCCTTTGAACAACTGGGGCCAGGTGTCTTATTAAGACAAGCGTGCTATTGTTTATGCTTGATTAAAGTGCATATGACACAAAATATTTTTCTCTTGTTTCTTGCAGTTGGATATCTATAGAAATTGTTTCGAAGCCTTAAAAGTGCTGGAAAAATCTAAAAAGCATTGTTTTTGCTTTCAAAATACATGCAATTTGCCTTCAAATTTTTCCCGGTCATCGCGCAGCCAAAATCGCACGTGACGTCACATTGTGTACCCAGATTCTTTGAAGTCAATGGAAATTTCAGAAGAGTTGGACTCAAAGGAATCGTTAGAATCACTGGACATCTTTGCCTTTCAATGCACTATGTATCTACTACGAAGTACTGCAGAATCCTCTTAGCAACAACAGACCTTCGTGGCAAAGGTACACAATATGACGTCACGAATAACTTCGACGGTGATAAACTAGGTACCAGTCTCCGGGACAAATTTGAAGGCAAATTGCACGTATTTTGAAAGCAAAAAAAATGCTTTTTACATTTTTCCAGCACTTTTAAAGCTTCGAAACGTTTTCCGTAGATATCCAACAACAAGAAACAAGAGAAAAAAATTTCGTGTCATATGCACTTTAAGAGTTAGAATGGACAGAAGTTTCTATTGCCCTTCCTCTCCCCTCCTTCTCTCCTTCCTTTTGACAGTCCCTCACCCCCTAGGTGCACTGAAGTCTTATTCAGTTTGGAATGACTCGTATATTTCTACTCAAATTATTTGATTATTCACTCTCAATAGTCCTTTTTACAGTTGTGGGCTTGGTGGCCAAGCCTTTGAACAGGAGTGAGGCTAAGGGTGACCGTGTTCTGATAGAGACCTGTATCTAGTTAGCATGATAACAAAGAAATTTGCATTTGAAAAGCAGAAACATCTCTATCATAACAAGGTCACCCTTAGCCTCACTCCTGTTCAAAGGCTTGGCCACCAAGCCCACAACTGTGAAAAGGACTATTCCTAAGCGTGAGGGATAGTGTGGACTTTCACCTTTCACGCGCTAAAAATCTCGATCTCATCATCTATCTTACAGATATCCGAGACACACGTGTTGAATTCATGTAATTATAAGTGAGTTCATCTTTTTAGTGACCAGGCATAGAAGTCTTTTGGATTCTGTCCTAGTGATAGTTATGGCTGATGCATAAATTTAACTACCTTATACATTGAACACCCTCTTAGAGACAATGATTACTTGGATGAAGTCTTGGAGAAACAAGCGGACATGATCCGATATTTGCAGCAACACAACACCAACTTGGGCAAACGACTGATGAAACTAACTGCACAACAAGGCCGAGGAAGCTTGGAGGCCTGATCCTGTTTGTATTCGGCTTACATGAAGTTCCAAGGTCCCTACGCTAGGTCAATAGTCCTTTTTACAGTTGTGGGCTTGGTGGCCAAGCCTTTGAACGGGACTGAGGTTAAGGGTGACCCTGTTGGGATAGAGACCTGTATCTAGGTAACATGATAACAAAGAAATTTGCATTTGAAAAGCAGCAACATCTCTATCATAACAAGGTCACCCTTAGCCTCACTCCTGTTCAAAGGCTTGGCCACCAAGCCCACAACTGTGAAAAGGACAATTCTGAATGCTACTGTGAGCCGTCACGTGACCCCTTCCTAGACTTTGTTCGGATTGAAAGAGAACGCCTGGGGGACGGCTAATTTGTATTTATACGTGAGTGTTACAAGGAATGGATAAGATACAAGATAGGTCTTTCCTCTCAGATCTCGAAAAGTTTTTCAAACGACCAAGTCGTCTGTTAAATTGGTAGACCAAAATCGTTAATACTCGAAACCCGTTTGTCATACTAAACGTTCTACAAAATGTAGGAAGAATCAAACCTAATTAGCAAAATAATTTACCCCTTTAAAAGTCATGACCATCTTTTTTGAGTTTCTTCTTAAGATTCAAACATTTATTGAGTGGTTTTTTTATTCCTCTAATATATTGTCGAAACAGGTTTGTAAAAAAAAGAAGTACTGCTATGGTTTCAAATGCTAGAATACATTATTTTGTATTTATTAATGAGGAATTGGGAAAATAAAGAGTAAGGCTGAGTGGTTTCAATGTACCTGAGTTTCGTTTGTGTTCCTATTGCCAGTGTCACATTCTCCACTTTTAGAAGAACACTTTTTGAGGATTAAAAAAGTTAATAGACTATATTTATCCATGTATTCATATTACCTTTCCTACAGTTTTCGGACTCAATAATTTATTATTTGTCTTTGATGTTCGTTTACACCCAATGAGTGAAATTTGAACAAGGTTACCGTACTAAAGATATGGAGCCATGTATTGGTTAAATAGGGCTATATTTCTACACTATTTTTTATCATGCACCTGATGTTTGCTGAAAATAGAAACCATCATTGCTTTTAAAAAATGTACATTCTTTTCGAAAGGTAGTTTAAAATACGTCAATTTATATAAGGAACCTCTCATTATGAGAATCTTGATATACAAAAGTGCATGGAAATCCTTACTAACGTAAAGATATCAATCTTGGCGATTCTAACGCCACTGTATTTCACAAAGAATTGTAGGTCATGTAAAACCGAAACGTTGACTACATCAATCGGACCTTATATGGATTTAAGTTCGCGCTATAGCTGTTCGGAAAAACGTTTCATTACAGTATAAAACAAAGAAAAACGATTATAATGTTACGCTACACATAATCAAGAACTAGCGCTATCTGAGCACTTTGAGGTAGCTTTGCGTTCACGTCAAGTTCTTTTTATCCCTTCCCCCGCTGTGATGCTAAAAGAACTCTGGTCCTCTTTTCATTCGGTGGGGAAGGGGGCGATTGTCAACCACAGAATTAATCGGTTACACTAAGACGTAACTTTCTGGTCATAATTCTCAATGGAATTAAATACCTGTCAGAGCAAAGCCTTTGCAAATGAAAAATTATATAGGTTTTTTATGGAGCAGCCACTGTGCTTAGCAGCTTTTCCGAATGGCCTTTCCTTTAAAGCGTCGTTAGGCAAACAATGAATCAAAAAGTTTCGAGCGAATTCCCTGAAGTAATTTTTGAAAGGAAGGTGTGGCAGACAAAACGGAGAGTTAAAGTGGCAATCTTGGGGGAGGAAAGATTAAATAAAAATGTCGATTTCGATGCTCGTTTGAAATGCCTCGGAAAATTTGTTTAAAAAATGGGTGTGGTCCTTCACTGCTGTCATCTTTGCGTTTGGCTTTCTATGGCGCTCAATTCTAGTTCTTTCTCCAGCTGAAGTTCTAGGAAAGAAGTGAAAAGAGAAGTGACTAAATCGGAATAAAGTCAGTCGGCTAGTGAGTCGATCAGTCTTTCAGTCATTCAGTTAGTCAATCAATCAGTCAGCTAGTCAATCAATCAGTCAGCTAGTCAATCAATCAGTCAGCTAGTCAATCAATCAGTCAGCTAGTCAATCAATCAGTCAGCTAGTCAATCAATCAGTCAGTTAGTCAATCAATCAGTCAGTTT